TTCTTTTCTTTTCTTTTCTTTTCTTTTCTTTTCTTTTCTTTTCTTTTCTTTTCTTTTCTTTTCTTTTCTTTTCTTTTCTTTTCTTTTCTTTTCTTTTCTTTTCTTTCTTATCTGAAAGTGGGTTTGTTGTCTTTTTTATGACTTTTTAAACCGTGATTTGTAGTTTTCACAGAGTTCCCTTCCTTGAATCCTTTGTGTTGGATTTTTTTGGCCTGATGTTTCACACAATAATGCTAAGTCCATCTGCGCTGTGGTCTACACTGCTACTAGACCTATGCTATAGTTGTAGAGAGCAGCACACTACAAAGAATTTGAAAGTGGTCCCATGTACAACTGACTGAAAGACTCATCCAAGAAACCATCATTTATCATATCTAAAAATGTGATTTTTTTTTCTTAATAGTGCATTGATCCAATCTCTGTATTGCCTCTCACTATTCCATGATTGATTTTGTTACAGTCATTAGGTGGTCAGCAATGCAATACTAGTATTAAGTTTCTATTATTAGACTCTAAGATGTTGTACCCACAAAGATTTCATCACACTTTCTTTTCCCTTAATATTTTTGCCTCATCACAGTTTCTATTATCCTTAACATAACATCACTGTGATTGAATGTCCCATATTGCCCTTCTGACCAAGTTGGTAGCCAGTAATGCTCTCTAGTACTGGTTATTCTCCTTCCACCACATCTACCTAATTATTATTATCTTGGAGTAGTTAATTGATACCTTGTCTTCATGATTCCACCTTAATTTTATGCTTCTTGCAATGCTGTAGTAACACTTAAAAGTTTTGCTCAAGGCTGTGCTGGTAAATAGAAAGTGTTTTAATGAGCCTTCTGTATTTATTTTGACTATTTATTTCCCCATTGGCTTTTCTGAGGCATATTAATTATTAGTTAAATCTGTCTCAGAGGCATGTCAGTCTTGTTCCATACTCATTAGACTTCCTCATCTTTCTGTTTAAAAGATGTTCTTCTTGCAACCTTTTTAATTTTTGTGCCAGCAGCTGGACTGCATTACAAATAAGGTGCAGTCTGTCCTTCCTGGACATGTTGTTCCTGTTGAAGAATCTTACCCAGTTCCTGAGAGGAACTATCTCCCTTCCTGCTTATACTGTTATCTTGTCTTTGAAGACTGTGAATTCTTTGGGTTGAATATAAAGGGGAAGTGTCTTTTCAAGCTACTGGAGTAGAATGCCATGAAAACAAGTGGAAGAATAAATATATTCAGCCTTTATAGCTACCTATCAATCCGGAACTTGGTGAACAAAGTCGTGCAAGGAATGGCTGAAATATTTCCCTGCAGCTTTAGATAGCTGAACATTGATTTCTTCTATGTATCTCTTGAGAAGCAAGAAGGTTTACACCTTCTTGTATGTTACAGAATCCAGAACAAGTATGAAATGTATTTCAACCAGAATAGCAAATTAAATCTTGATGTGAAAGATACCAAGCATGACAGGCAAGGTGAGACTGAATAACAGAAGTTAGTGGTTAAGAAGAAGAAGGGAAGACCTGTGATTGCTCTATGGCATAAGGAGTAGTTAAGACCACTGATGCATATCAAATCAATAAAGCTTGGAGCGAGTTCTAAAATTGGAGCCTGTCTTGTTTACAGACTGCACAGAAGTTACAAAACAAACAATAGAAAATGTATTTCAGAACTTGGACAAAGAAAGGATTTTCCTTCCTTTTGATCATATATTCACCTGCAGAGCATATTTTTTTAATATGTAATCATGTTGAGGTAATGGGCATGACCAGTCTGATATTTGTTTTCTTATCTTGAAAAGTTATGGGTTTTTCTCATCTTTTGTAAAGCAATGCTCCAATTCTGCGAATTTATGTAATTTTATGGATACAGATACGGATTTCTGGGGCTCCCATATTCCATAGCATTTCTTATTTGTTTATGTAAGGATCCTATCTAATTTATAAATGACTGCAGTAAGCCTTGTAAGTGATGAATTTTCCCATGTCTAATTAATGACATTAATGTGATAATGTCATTCTTTGCATCAAAAATCAGACAAAATTTCTAGAATTATTTTGTTATTCGTTTAGGGATTTTTAGACTTAATAATGTACTTAAGATAAAAAATTATGTCTCAAGGATAGTTCAGAATGCTGAAGAGTAAAGTTTAGATTACTCCTCTGGAAATTTAGGTGTAATTAATGTTATTCATTTATTTTTTTCCTTGTCAACAGGAAGATTCGGCTGACTGTGGTGGTGCCTCTGGTCTGAGTCCATCACTGTGGTCTATGGTAGGAATTCAATTGGTCCTGCTTTGGCTCTTATCTGGCAGCAGACACTACCAGTTATGACCTTGCTAAAACAAAACCTGCATAACTTAATCAAGATTCGGCCAAATGATAGCCTCAGTTCCATTTTAATAAGGGTCAGCTATTCAGACAGAAGCAGAACAGCAATGTTCATGTCTGTTTATCATGCGTTGTGAGATTCATAAAGGCACTCAAAATGGCTGCATATTGGAGTGTCAATCCTTAACGTATGCGAATGCTGCATCATCTCTGCCACCCGAACAGAATTCCATACATGCTTCATTGGGGAATCTAAGATTTTTTTCATTCTTTTGTTGTTGTAATCTTGATGACTTCATGTAAAAGGGCTCCCCTGACCATAGCTTATGTATATGATTTTCATTTATTTTAAGCTTTGGATTTCTTGAAGATTTATATTCTTTTACATGAACATTTATTTATGAAAGAAAAAAAGAAAAAAAAGAGAGTATACTCCCCAGTATACATTGCTAGCACCACAATGGCTGCTTTGAACAACAAGTTCATCCAAACTGTTTGAGTGAAATGAAAATGTTGGCTAGCCTTCATCAGAAGCTCAGTGTGATTGAAATGCTTTTGAGTGGTTTATTCTTCCTAAGTTAATCAGAACAGGTAGCTGGCAATATTTAGGTGGGCTCATAATTTGTTAATTTAGAGAAAAGAATGGAAAAAGGAGGAAATTACTATTTTTAAAAATATAAAGATGCTTGAGAGTGTAATTTAAAAACAATTTTTTTAATCTTGGTGTCATCTTTTATCAGAAGAATAATAATTTCTATTTACTATTCACCTCCTTTTCACAATGACAGATATACATATAAGGTAGTCAAGTCCTTCAAAGATTGAAAAAAAGACTTGTGAATACTAACAAAAAAAAAAGTACATGTGATATTTGAATGTTGGTTTCCAAGGGTATTTTGCATGATGATGATGATTCTGCATTTTTAAGTTAGTTTTCTTTGATGGTAGAGTGTAGTCCATTGCAAAGGTAACTGAATGGTTCTTTTATTGTGTGAGAAACTGAACATTGCAATGTGTTGCAATCAATTCATATTAAATTATATTATGAAATAGAGCTCTGAATATACTGTGCAATGAAAAGCTGAGAAAATAGGGTAAATTTAGCTATCATAATGAAAAGGTTGAGTTGGATTTTTTTACATAATAGTGATCTCACATTAAAACCTGTGTACAGATATTTTAAGTATATAAAAAAATCAGATTTTGCATATTTATTTTTGAAAGTATATGTTCACTAAGGTTCATATCAGGTTCCTCCTTTGTTTGCTTTAAAATTCATCCAGACTATTAAAATTATACTGTTGCTATTTGTTATTGAAAATAACAAAATTAACAGCAAAATTACCTGGTTTCTGAGATTGGGAAAAATCTAAACAAATGGGGAGCCTTGAATCTGTATGTATGCACATTGATACTTGATTGTGAATAATAATTTTAGAAGTTGTTTTTATACAACCTCATTTGTGATACAGATTGGTGCAGTAAATTGCAATATTACAGTGTATCATAGTGTTGATGCAAAATATGGTTTGTGCTTTTTTCTAGTTTTCAGAACTAAACAGTATTGCAAGACAGCTAAGCCAATGAATGTGCAACTCTGCTGATATTGTATAATTCTGCTAAAAACTGCAATATGCAAATATTAACATGGCACAATATACTAGCTCTTTAAAAACTTAAGAAAATTCAAAGCATTGGTATGTGTTTGCTGGCAATTGATTGATATAATTTTGATCATGTCAAAAGCTTAAAGAAACAATTGGGCATGCATTACTACCCTATGAAACATGAAGAAGTTACTCAAAGCCATGGCATGGCTTAAAAGATCAGATGTCTAATTGTACCCACGGCTGGTTTGTTGTTTTCCTCATGAACCTTGGCTCCAGCAATGTATTTTCTCATCTTTGGAAGTACAATGAGTAAAAACAGTAAAAACTGACCTTCTGTTCAGTAATAAATTTTAGCTTTTAAAAAATACCTCTTGTTCAGTCATGGGGTCTAAATTACAGTCAACTCTGTTGGATGACTTCAGGTCCTCCTCAGGGAAGGTGAGCTAATGTTAATGCTATGAGTAAAGGTAATCTTGCAACTCTTCTAAGAGTTATATTACTGCACTTCTTATTAAAAACAAAACAACAACAACAAGAAAACAATAATAATAATTGCTAATATTTCTAATCCTTAAACTCTATTCTGCATATTTTCCGTAACATGGTCTAATGAAATCATATGAAGGAACAAAGTTTGTAGGATTAAGCCAATTCTTAATAAGCACATTTGCTTTTACTTTAAGATTAGCTAAAATACACATTACTATGCATCTTGCTCTTTTAATTTCTTGAATGATTGCCAGTATAAGAAGTGCTATACATTTTTCACTTAACTACCGAAAAGAAACCCTTCATGGAAAAGTTACATTACTGAGATGTTAGAATAATTTGGTTATATGAGCGACTCTTATTCTGAGTTAGTTAATAAACATTTGATGAGGGTCTGTAGGAAGGAGGAAAGATAGTACAAACTGTAATGCCACAGAAACCAAGTGGGGTTTTTGATCTCATTCCACCTCCCTTAGAGAGCTTGCATACAAAAAGGAGGGAGAAGTCCATGCAATGCAGACACATTATCCTTTTTGGGCTATCCAGAGAGGGAAATACTCTTTGTTCCTCTCCTCTGCCCCTCTCTAGGACTTGAAGAATCATTTCTTTATATAGACCTAGCCTTTTAGCCATTAAACCTGTCTGATAGAAAACTCAGGATTTTGGTTGTATGGAATTGACTTATCTATAAAATACAAAGCACCAGAACACCAGAAAGCAAATGCAATGTGAATGTTAGCTATCTCAAAGTGTGAAGAACAGTCTGTTAGAAATATCTTCCATGAATAACTAATTATTATGCAGAAGAATATCCTTACTCTCACATAATGTGTAGTAGTCAACTTCTCTTTGTAAGAAAAGAAACTTGATCTTAGGCTTGAAATTGAAACATTTTCAAACTACAATATGCTGTAAAAAGTTTTTTTGAAGTCACATAATAAACTATGTTGGTATTTGCTCAGATCCTTTAAATAGCACTAAGGGACAGAGATAAACTGCTGTTTTCATTTGCACAGAAGTCATGTGGCCTACTGTACGTCTGATAAATAACCACCATTAAAGTTCTCACAGTGTGGTACTGTACAAGTGTGATCCGAAGACTTAACATGAAAGGTTTCTTCTTTTCTTTCCCTTTTGTTTGTTTAAACAACCAGCATTACTGCCAAGACACTAACCGTGGTCCATATTTGTATCAGGTTTTTAACATGACATAGCAGGTTTGATTGACAAGATTTTTAGGTCCTGTATCATTAAGACTTTAGTATGATATTTTTCATGTTTCTAATGCTTGAGGCTTTACTGCTTAACTTGACAAAAAAAAAAAAAAAAAAAAAAAACACAACAACAAAAAAACAAGTGTTGCTGCCATTTGTAATTTTTCCTATAATATTCCTTTTACTAACTTAAAAACTGGCCTTACTGGGTTCAAATAGGCAGTATCCCTTTTAAGTGACCTTTGCAACCCAAGTGTTACTTGCTGCAGTTGAGAGTTTTTTGGTATCACTGAAGAGACATTAAGAACTTTTTTTCCCATCAACATGTAAGCTCAGAAAGTGTGCTTAGTATCTCTTAATTTCAAAATACAACCTCAGTCTCACTGGTCCTAAAAATTCAGACACTAGTACACTGGTTATAAGAGGTATATTAATGCCTACAAAGCACTGCAGTGCTCTCTGATGGTTTTTAGAATGTCGACTGAAGGTGAAATCTTAATCACTCTTTAGGTGAAATTTTACCCTAGCTTCATCAACATCTAAGCCTTTTAAAACGGCCAGATTTTTTTTTCTTCCATACCAAGATGTTAATATTGTTAATAATCATTGTACACTACTGTAAAAAGATTAAAACAAAGTGTCTGAAAACAATTCAAGAGTTTTGAAAAGTTAGCCTAACCTTCCTAGCTACTTGCATCTGTACTGTTTATGGTTTAAAAGAAAAATACCATCTTGAAGAAATAATTTCACTGAAGCTAAAAGAGTACTGTTGTTCAGATGCCATGAAAATGCGATTGTGATCTGACAAAGCTGTCTTCTCTTCTTGTGTTGTATGGAATGTCTGGATCATGCTTTCTGGGATATTTTTATTGAAATGCTCAGTGTGCGTTTCTGCAAAAAAGGCTTGCTTGCTCTTACAAGGCAAAGCAAGTCTTTCTCCCTTTTATTGTGTTCTCTTGACACTTTTGTGGAACTTGACAAGCCTGGAAAAAGAAATTTTTGTAAAAATTTGTACAATAATGTTATAAAAAGTTTATAATCCTAGAACTGTTGTGTTAATTCTTGTGCAAAAACAGTATATTCAGAATAAAAATTTATCATTTAAAATCAGCAACTACTTTGATTTTTCACTCTGTATAATAAAAACATGTAGTAGCGCATACATACGTAGCTGAATAATAGGTCTGAGTTTGCGACATAATTGCACAGAAGACAGAGAGATTTTCCAAAGCATAGACCGTGACTTAACCAGTTTATACTGGGGATCAAAGGAGGATGTGCAGTAAACCCTCATTTCTGCATTAGTTATGACTTTGAAAATTTTGGAAAGTTTTTTTTTTTCTTTTTTTTTTTTCCAAAAACTAACCAATGAAAACTGAGAATCTGTAAAGCAGTCAGTACAATAACAGTCTATAAAGCATCTGAAGTTCCCCTGTTGTTCTGAAACAATTGCTTTTGGAAGGACTGTCATTTACTAACTTGTAAACACTGATGAAGTCCAAGAGTTCATTCACATCCAGAAGCAGACTAAACTCAGATGGCAACTGCCCAAGTTGTTGCCCCACCTCTGACAAAGATCACTGCTTGATTTATGAATCAGCTTCTGTACTGCTGCAGTTCTCAGCTAAACATCAAATTCAAGTGGATCTATGCACCTTAATAAACTGGCTGGAAATGTTGAGGAGTTGCTTCACTGTTTTTCAGTGTGCTGAGACTGGCAACCTCCATCAGGAGGGCAGGGCGGATGGTAACTGCTTTAGAAGTCTGATTTTAATCCTTTGCTGTGTATGTGTCAAAGCCCAAAAAGAATGGCAGTCATAAATTACAGCTGAATTTAGCGAATCCCCAAGGAGTCAGATAAGAGAGAAAGAAATCAAATGCAGATTCTAATGCTGCAAAGTATCAGATCACCCATGTGGAAATGCTACAAGGAAGCACATGACACTGCAGATCAACATCCAGAGATTACTGGCCTCAACTAGATTAAACATTGCCATGTAACGACATGATTACCCCCACATGCTGAATTAATTGTAACATGTTCTCTGTATGCCATTGAGAATCAAAAATAAAGAAACCCCCAAATCCCTTCCCAGTACATTTTTAATTTTAATTCCTTATTACAGTACTCTATTCATTCAACACCAGGAACCAGTTCTTTCAGAAAACAGAGGCTTTGTTTATTTGTTTGTTTGTTTCTCCCATTTCTGGAATTTACAAGTAGATCAATTTGGGAATGCCTGCATTGCAGTGAGATATTCTCTATTAGTCCCCACTGCAAATCAAGCCAGAATACACTTTGTCATATTGTATCAGTCTGAGAGACGACTTCATATTGTCCAATATAGAATGATTGCTGCTAACTATCTACAAAAATCAAAAAGTTATGCAACTGTTATGTTATAAAAAATCCTGCACTAAATCATTTATTAGCCCAGCGCTCCCCGAAAGCTGCCTGAATGCTCTATTGAGCAAGATGCATACCTTAAGCAGTCCAACATTTTCTCTGCCTTTTTGCAAAAGACATAGAAAGCAGTGTCTCCCTTTCCAATGGTCTGTTCCCCTTGGAGAAATGGTGAGCATTTGTGATTTGTCTATCTTTAGTTGACTACAATTAGTCAGTTCACTCTAGAGTAAAGAGTTCTGTCCAGATTTTGAATATCTGCCTTAAGGATCTGGAGGTCAATTCTTAAAAAACAAAGTTGCTTTTGCTTTTTTAGTAGTATGACTTTTTCCAACAGAGAAATTTTCATATTAAGAAAAACTGCATCTGCTACTTTTTCTATTACTTTCCTGCTATTTTTTATAGGATTTCAGTGCTGTTCATTTCTCACAGCTATTTTTTGAAAGGCAACACAAAGTATGGGACTTCAGTAGTAGTCACTCTTCCTCTCTAAGAAAATCTTCTGTATTTTCAGTCACTTACTTAGATGTTCCATAAACAAAACAAATGCATGGTATCAGGAGTAGAATCTATCTCTCTACTTTAACTTCTGTTACTTCAACCCAGACTCTTCTTGTGATCTCAGCCTCTCCTCTGTGGCTTGATTATCTAAAAATAATTTTTTGGCACATTATAATGCAAACTTACATGCACACACACACATTTACTATAGTTCAGGAAGGCTAATGTATTTGGAACTATGACTAATAGTATTAAGTTTTAGTATACTTAATTAACACATATTATTCTACTACACTATTTTGAGAGTTGAAGTAGTTAACAGTCACAATGATAAGGATTAGTCAGTTTGACAGATAAGCTTTTATATCTTCATGATCAGTTAGTTCTAGGAGAAAACTGCAGGCAGCTGAGGTTCAGCTCTACCTGGAAAGATACCAATACATAATTTCAAATTATGAGTATTGGCTTATTCTGGTTACGTGTAATCTGCACAAATGATAACTCGTGGTATAATGCCAACATTTGCATTTGACAGCTTTCTGGAACTCTAGTATAGGAAATAGCATGTATGGAAATTTGAGAACCTTGGATGATACTGGAATTTGGTAGGTATACATTGAGAGTTTCACTGGGTGTCTGTTCCTAGGCTGATCAGTGGAGATTACTCAATGTGGTCAGTGAAGCAGGAAGAACCATTCAGATGACCATCTACGAGATGTTTAGGAGTAGTTGCAGTTGCACATGCAAGCTTTCCGTTGACACTGAGACATGAGGATGCTAGATCTGAGAAAGACTGAACTGCGGTGATACATGAATTCAAATTTTTTTCTCTTTTGATGGATCCAGTGTGTTCCTAGAACAAAGGTCTTGAATTAGTAAATTCCACCTAAAGGAAGACAGATGTGAAATGTAGGCTACCAGAGAATTATGCAGACTTATGTCTGCTCTAACAGCCATTCCTCTGCAAACACAGTGGAAGAGATGCCAAACTTCTGAGTATTGAGAAACTCCAAACTCCTAGTCCTGAGAAAATCTTGTTCTGAGAAAAGCTGTGGTTGGTGAACACTGAATTCCTTCCAAAATAGAGAAGAGGTAGTGCTGATGGTGAAAGGGGTCTTACTCATCTTTTGCATCATGTGTTTCCATTTATAGTACTTGTCTGAAAAGTGTAATATGTGTTTCCAAGCCATCTTTAGTCTTAGGTTTTATGTGGCTGAGAGAACCTGAGCTCTTACTAACAGAGGCAGCAATAAAATCTAGAACCTCAGCATTTAGAAAGGCAGCAATGAAATCTAGCTCAAAGTCTGCCTGAAAGGTCAGACCTTTGTGCTGTTGAAGATTTACAGTAAATAGAAAAGCATATATCTTGAAACTGTTTTTTCCAATTATTATTTTTATTAAGAAATTGTTAGCACTTCATTGTGAATGAATGGAATGGAAAGATAGGTATGTGAAGAACTTTAAGACGTAGAAACATCTGCAAACGTTAGGCATCTACCTAGATGGCAGTTGTATGCTGCATTTTCAGTATCACAGTTATGTATTGTGTAGGCTCTCAAATTTTGCCTTAATCACATTTTAGCAGTTAGGTGCTATGGTTTGAGAATCTGAAGTTAGCTGATGACTCAGAACGCTTTTAAGTATGGTCTTTTTAATGGTGCCAGGACAAGAGGCAATAGGCACAAATTGGAACATATCCATCTAACCATCACAAATCACTTCTGTGCTGTGTGGGTGACAGAACATTGGCACAGTTTGCCCAGAGAGACTCTAGTGTCTCTTCCTTGTAGATATTCAGAAGCCACCTGGAAGTGGCCCTGGGTATCTTGATCTGGGTGTCCTTGCTTGGTCAGGGGTTGGGCTGGAAGGACCCAGAGGTCCTGCCAAACTCAACTATGCTGTGATTTTGTGATTTATGCAATTAACTGCTTGGGGCTTTGTTTGGTTTCTTATATATCTGTCCAATTCCAATCTTGTAAATCACAGTGAAAGAAAAGTCTCTTCATCCACAATGAAAGTAGTTGTGCTTAAAGCACTTTGTACACAAGGAGGTGAGACTAAGCTCCAACTTTGGTTTTAGTAAATTAATTGTTTGGAATAATAATAAGGATAATAAGAATATGAAAGTGAAGGTATGAAAAGTGGAGGTTTGAAAATGCTTTGTAGCTACAGCAGTCTGCTGAGAAGATACATCTGTCACCACAGCTGTGCCTTCTGCTCTCCCTGAGCTGGATCTGCTTGGCTGAGCTGATTTCCTGTCTGTGCCAGCACTGACAGGTTCTTTTCTGTGAGGAGCTGAGGAAGATTTGTGCTAGTAGAATCAAATATATGTTTCTATTTCTCTGTCTCCCTCTGTTAACAGCAAGAAATTCAATGAGCCTGATCATACCTGAGATTTTGGTTGTCTAATAATTCACTGAGAAAACACTGGAAGTTAGGTAACTAAGAGAGAACGTCTTTCCGTTGCTTCCATATCTCCTAGAGAATGTACATCTTAAACTAAGGTACTGAGCAGTTAAGATTTTTGGGGAGAAGTGCAAGTATGTATGTAGGCATAAGTATTTCAATAAATGTTAGGTACTATCTATGGGCTTCTAAAAATGTGCCTTTGTGTTTTGTTCTTACAAGGTCAAGCCACCCTACTGTGCTTTTCTGTGGCAGATGACAGGAGTAAAACCATGCTTAAAAGCAGCCTGCATGCAAGGCCTCCTTTGCAGAGCGTGAAGGAGAACCTACAGTGTGGTATTTCTTTCCTTGAATCTTTTGTTGAGTGAAATGTCTTAAATAGAAACTTGTCCAGATCTAGATGAAAACCTAATCCATAGGACTGCACAAATAGGCACCTTTATTGTTTCCAGAAGAGATTTTCTCATATTAATGGATATTCTGTTATTAGAAGGCTTTTTTTTTTCTCCCCTTTTGCTTTTTTTTTTCCCCCCCATTTCTTTCTCTGTTTTTTAATACTAAAATAGCTGTTTTCAAATTACAGAAGAATGTAGAATGCTATACTTTATAGCTCAGCTATATTCACCTCTTTTAACACAGAATATAAATCCTTTTCCAAGTAACAAGGAAAAAAAAAAAAGATGCACAATAGAATTGATTGTTGATAGGAAACACAATATTTTCATTGCCACATAATGTTAGAATTTTTCTCTGCAGTTTTTCTTTCAACATTTCTGTGTGTATGTAATAAATC